GTGGGCAATCGCGGATCCGATGTCCCATACTCCCGCACTTAAAACACGCCCCATATCTACCCAACTGGGGATTCGGTTTTCCGATATTCCGTCTGGCTGGTGGAACAAATCGCCTATTTCCAGTCATAGGCCTCTTTCCCAAACGGCGATTATCTCGATTTTGAGCAAACCGCGATCCTGAAGCGGCTGCCCTTTCCTGTTGATCTCGTTCCATGATCTGAGCCCGTCTGAACATCTCCCCATAGTCCTTGATATCATGAGACAAAATCAGACTTCGAAGGTCCGGCTTCAGTCCATCCCGGAATCTTCGCGCCCTATCTCTCGGGTTCTCCACCATAGTCGGTGCAAACTTAGCCAATCTTGCAAATTCGGCCTCATATTGATCCACAGTCATTTGTCCCTGGCGCAAGCGCATAAATTCCATCAACTTCTTTTCTTGCGCATTCTCCGAGAAATATTTTTCGTAGAAATTTTCCACAAACGCAGCCCAAGTCGGGGCCGTTCCTACTGGAAACACTCTATTCTCCACGGCATTCCACCAATCATTAGCACCCTCTTGAAATTGGTAAACCGCCAATGTCACCTTCTCCTCATCGGTGCACCCCAGAACTTTGAAGGTTTTCTCCAGTTCCTCAATCCATCTTGGCGCAGCCTCGGGGTCACCGCGACCATGAAATTTAGGCGGCTTCAATTTCATAAACTGTTCTACTAACTGGGGCATCTGCCTAACCCCGGCTGGCTGAGCCTGTCCAGCATTAGCTTGATTCTCATCTACCGCAGCAGCGGCTACATTATCTCGCCCTTGAGTCTGCCTATCCAGCACGTTCCCAATCCTTTCTAATACTCGCAGAACTCCTTCCATACGTGGATCTTCCACGGGTCTAACATCAACTTGGGGGTCTACTGCAGCTCCCATATTAACTCCCAGATTGTCTACTGCTCCTACTCGAGCACGACCTCTACCTCGGATTCCTCTTCCTGCACCCCTTCTGGGAATTCTTCCTATACCTCTCCCCTCGCTACTCATCTTGGCTACTCGATTCTACGACTACCTGCTATAATTCCACGAAGGAATTAAAGACTTAAACCAATCTATCCCAGTCTAAGTTCTAGGCAGGTATTAAACAACAATCAAGCAATCAGCATGCGGTCTAACAATTATCCAACACATCACCCAAGGGATTCGCGTACTCACCTCGAATCCTGCCGTACCTGCACTTACGGGTCACACAATCACAATTCAAAAACAATCACAAGCTGTCAGGAGATGCATGTAGCACACGAGATCACCCTACTGGCTACCCAGGGTCTCATCGCTCCTTATCACTCCAAACCTCGACCAAAGGAATCGAGCTGACCTTGCTCTGATACCAATTCAAACGGGGATGTCACGACCCGTACCCCACGAAGCGGGAGCATCCCACCTTCGGTCGATAAATTGCGACGTCCCAGGAAGCGTCGCCGACCCACGCCCATACAGAGATCAAGCACAAGCGGAAGTATAAAATAAACAAACCCAGACAATTACAATATGAGCCAAGGATAGCCATCCAATAAACAAGATTCAACGCAGAAAATAGGTACATACTTATATTACTATTTTAAAACTCTTTTTACAGTGCTCACGACAACCAAAAAGGAAACACCAACAGCTGAGAATAATCCAAACAGCTGCTTCTCTGGTCTGCTCCATCCCCACCGGGGTGCATGCTTGACGACTGCTGGATAAAAGGCGATATTCCCAAAAAGAGGTGGTGCCCTCGACATTCTACGGCTGGGGGTCTGAAATGTTTCGGTTTACACAACCGTGAGACGAATCTCAATGAGTTCAACCCCTAAACCTAGGCTAGGCTAGCATGCAATCTCCTGACCGGAAACAAACATTCAAATCACAATACCACAATAGTCAAACAATTATCTGACCCTGCAGGTTAGATAGTTCAATATGTAATAATTACGGGACATACGTGGCACACATTATCACACGTACGCCAATCACATGCTCATACACCGAGTCTCACACACTCGCATGCCATTCAATGCATGTTTATGCATGCAAATGTCATTGACATGTCATGCACATTTCTTTGGCCCACTGGCCCACACTGGCACACTTGCCCAATTAATTATTATTACGACTCGAGTCATCAATTTTTCACGGCCCGGTGCGTCTAGCACGCTTCAAAGTGCATGAGGCGCGACATCCGATCCGGCCCAAGTGTCTCTAGCCTCGCTTCAAAGTGCATGAGGCGCAACACTGTTCTCCTTGCAAACCAGAGCCTGCTTCAAAGTGCATGAGGATGGTCGCCTTCCGGACGTACCGGGCATCGTCCTGCTTCAAAGTGCATGAGGACGGTATCGACCCGAAGGTCCTTAGGTGATCACACAGCTCATTATTATCTGAACCCAGCGTATAACGCTTCAGGGTATTTTAAGTGATCACATGCTCATGGCAGACACGCATTCTCGCACAATTTTCATCACATGCCTCACTCTTGGCATACGCAATGCGTGTCCATGTTATGCAATGCAATGAACCACGAGCACCAATATAATTCAGACAACCCGGGCATACCCGGCAATTTCACCGATGAACTCCTAAATTGGTCATTAACCCCTATTATCCTCCCCAACGATTCTCATTAATCCACTAAATTTTTCCGATAATAATTTCTACCAATCAATTCTCAACCCAGTCTCAATTACACACTTGCTATTATCTAAGCCATCAAAATGCATCGATAACACCTAAACCAATCCGAAAAAACGCAACATCGGTCCCTAATCCGGGTTTAGAAATTTTACTCACCAAAACAAGGGTCACGACGACGGGGAATGGCGGCCGATCACTGATGAACAGTGAAACCGGCGGCGGAATTCCCGGCGGGACGGCGGCGGGGTGTACGGACGGGTGAACAAAGACCCTCGTACGGACGGGCGTGAATGCAGACCACTGTACGGACACTCAGACGGACGGCTGGGAAACGGTGGCATGCGAGCGCCGGTCACGGCGGCGACGGCCGTGCGGTGCAGATGAACAGTGACCGTACGGACGTGAACAGTAAAATTGTACGGTCGCTGTATCGGAATGGCTGAACGGCGACGTATGGACATGTTTGAGCATGGGTGTCGACGGACAGCGATCGGAGCTCCGCGAAGCTCCGTGATCTTGTTTGTAAAACAGAAAAATGAGAAAAGAGGGAAAAAGGAGAGAGAGAGCTGTTTTTGGTCTATACCCGGGTTGGTGGCTGCACGAGGTGGAACTAGCTGCTGGTGGTTACGGCTCGGCGGGGACAAGACTGGCGGTACTGTTCCGGCGTGAACGATGCACGAACTTGCGAAAGTGCACGGCAAAACCGAAAAGGAAGAAAAGGGAGAAGAATTTGGGGGAAATGGGGAAGCTCTCGGCAGAATGGCTGGAGGAGAGAGAGAGGGTATGGTCAAATGGGTCAAAGATAGTCTTAGTGGAGTCCAAGTGTCATTATCCAAGCCCATTTGACAATTTTACCCTTGATCTAATGGACTAGATTTGATCAAATCCAATAATTTAGGGGTACAATGGTCTTTTGTCCCCTAACCATGGTTGACCAGACCTGGTTTAACCTTAACTCACCTTGGTTAATCCCAAAATTAAATCCAATTTTCGGAATTAATCAAAAATGGCCTAGGGGCATTTTCGTAATTTTCCGATCCCGAACCGAAATTCCAATTTTCGCACATACGCGTTCCATATATGCGTGGCCAACATGATATGGCGTCGGAATCGCAAAATTCATCGCGCAAGCCCTCGAAAATCCACGTCAAAGTTTCGGGAATAAAATAATATTATTTTTCTAATTTTCGTCGAAATTCCAATTTTTGGCCAAAACGACTCCTGGTATGCGTGGCCACCCAAAAATGGCATCGGCCACGAAAAATAACCTCATTTGGCCTCGAAAAGCGACTCTGGCATCCCGGGGCAAAATCGTAATTTTTCACCCCCGGACCGAAATTCCAATTTTTACTCGTACTAACTCCACATGTGAGTGGCCAGCGTAATATGACGTCAGATTCCTAAAAATAGTCTCTTAAGCCTTTGAAAATCGATACCGAAATCCGGGCCCAATTCCGTGAACAAAACTCGCTAAACTTTCAATTTCAGAGTCTCTCACTAACGGGCGGCTGTTTAGAGGTTACGCGTATCGACCTAAGGCTATTCGTATCGTGATGGTCTCGATCATTGAGAGAATGAGAAATTATCATTAGTTCCCGAGGTCACAATCATTAGGTTCAAGTTCCGGACTGGTTGACCACGTGCACTTTTGGTCTTGCAGAATCACCTGCGTCCCAATCGTACATCGTTGGCCTTGGCCAAACCCAATCCATTACTCTTTCCTAAGATCAGCCCACATTGGCTCAAAATATTTCCTCAACGTCTCTCGTGATCGGTAACCCTTTCGCGACAGGGTCCCCGGTCCACGTACCATCTTCTAGCTAGCCATACCCTATTGGTTAGTATCCCGAGAGTGATCAGCTCTGGGTGAGACTTACTAAAATGAAATGCGAAATAATATCAGTTTCATTGATCCCGGAAATTACATCGAAATTCTGGCTGTTACATGTATTGAGTGATTATGTGTTTGGACCTGTCTGGAGATATGCGGTAGCTTAAGTGGGGTTTAGGCTGTCAACTTATTGAGATACATCTCATGGTTGTTTAATCAAATCCTTTCAGAACCCCACCCTGAGCCATGAACCTGCCGCCGTCGCAGCATTTTGGGATTCCGATGCACACCGACCATAATGTTGTAGAGTACCCGATAGACGATAATATGATCTGGATCAAGCACACTACTGTAGTCTGGGTAGACATAGGATTACCCCTCTGGCAGGCCCACACCTACACCGCCTGGATGTTTAGGGATAGGTTGGACGAGTTTGGCCCCGTCCGTGGCTTTGATGTGCCATTTGACGGAGTAGGGGATTGGGATCCGTCAGCCATACCCCCTCCTGATGGCGAGATGACTAGTCTGGAGACTAGCCTAGCACAGTCCGGACACCGGCCTGCACCTGCAGCACCTGAGCCTTCAGGGGCCGAGCATGATCCTGAGCCAGAAGAATCCCAGGCGGGGTATGATCCAATGGATGTGGATCTAGGGGTAATACCAGAGGAAGAGCCCAGAGAAGAAGACCCCGAAGAAGAGCCCGAAGAAGTACCAGAGGAAGAACCCGAGAACGAGCCAGAAGACAAGCCAGAGGACGAGCTAGAGGATGAGCCTGAGAATGAACCAAAGGAGGAGCCAGAAGAGGAGCCTGATGAGGAGGAGCGGGTAAAGGTTCCATTAGAGTCGGGTGAGTTGGGTAACCCGATTGAGATCGAGGCCGACTCGGAGTCCTCTGAGGAGCAAATGGCTCAGAGGGATTCAGACTCGAGTTCTGAGGAGTCGGATTCAGAGTGGACGCCATCTCGAGGGCGTAGGGGCTGGTTTTAGGGGTTAGGTAAACCTTTTTTATGTGTCCCATTTTTGGAGATAAGGTATACCCAGGCTGCTGATCATTTTTTATATCGATGGTATATAGTTTAGAAGTTCGGTGTGCATGTATATGTTGTGGTTATGTAAATGGTGGATATTGTATAAGTTTGAATCGGTAATGGATATGTTTATTCTCCCTTTTTACCCCTAGTTAATATTGCCTGGGTGTTTGTGGCTTTCGCTGGTGTTTTATATCTCTGATGGTTTGATTTGGGTCGGCGTCGTTTCCAAGGACGTCGCATTAATTCGACCAAAGAGGAGTGCCACGAGCTCGATGGGGTTCGGGGCGTGACAGTAATTACATCATAATGGAATCACATTCCGAAAGTCACGGATACATAAATACATTTTACTTTCGCACACAATAAATTCGATAATCCAACTGGGATTTCTACTTGTGACAATTATCGTCTTCATTTCCTACATATTAGTAATTGATGTAGGAATTTCTGGATGTCACAGTTTTGATCTACTTGGATTAAGAAACACAAATCCCACACGACCCATCGAAAAAGTTCACGTTTTGAGTCCAAGGCCACTATCTATCACAATATGACCCTAGGTCCAACTCGCTTGTTTAACAGGTCTAGTTTAAGTTTTAAAGAAGAGAAAATGACACAAACGAACCCTAAACTTTGACCAAATGTGCAATCTGGACAATTGGTAAATTTTCCATATAGTCTTTGGATTTGCTCAAACGACAAATCAGACGTTATTTGTTGACATGGATTATTATATATTGAGTTGGATTTTAAAGAGTGAAGAATCAACATGTGGAAATTTTTATCTATTTACTTTAGAAAGAAAAAAAAATTAGGGACTTCAAGCATCCCACGTGGAAATTTATTTTCCTAGCTTGGAATGAGTATCTTACGTGGATATTCACCTACAACTCTTTTTTGTCCACTGTTCAAACTTAAAGAATTGAAAGTCATATTAACCGATTCCATTAATTTGAATTAACGGAAGGACGATATTAAACATTTTCATTTAGTGTAGGGACTACATCGAATACTTATCAATAGTTCATGAACCACATATAATAAATTAAAAGCATAATGACAACATTGTACATTAAATCAAAATTCAGAGACTATTTGTGTTACTTTCTCTTTGGGTAACCCAAAAAACAAATTTCACGCTCGTGAAACTGACTGGCATGGCATGTGCATCATGTCCCTAATGCCATGTCCCATCTCTTTTCGCTCGGGAAAGGAAACGCCACATGGTTAAAAAAACAAAGTTTTCATAGCACATAAAGTCCAAAGAAAAATCGTGAATACTTTGTGTTTTTTAAGTTAGCCATACTTAAGAAACTGCCTTGCTGGCGAGACCTTTTGTTTCTTGGCCTGCTTCCACAAGTAGTGTGCACTCGCGCATGGCTAAAGTACTTTGATCCACATCGTTTCTTGACCTTATGCCCTTTTCTTTTTTTTAAAAGAAGGAAAAAACAAAAACAAAAGAGACATCGACAGTTGTCTTTTGATTTTTTTATGATCTCGATTGTCTTTTGTCGGATTGGATTGGGGAATTCGAGGCGATTGGTGAGCAAAACGTGAAGTTTTGCTTCATGTCCAAAAGCTTTTCCCAAAGTTGCCTGTGAAAATGCTCTATGCAAAACATTCCCAATTCAGATCAACATTCGTCTAGCGATTTGCGTTGAAGTTTGTTTTGCCCTTATTTGCTTGCGCTATGGCATCAGAGCTTAGTTCTTTAATTTGCATTATCTTAGGTCAAAGTAAGATAATAGCTTGAAAATTTGCGAACTTCTACAGTATGTATTTTTTGCCAAAGTAAAAATTTTGAAGTCAAAGGTCACGACCAAAGCCGAAAAATTTATTTCAAAAAAGCAAATATCATGCTAGACAGGTTCTTTATATTATCTCTAAATAATCTCAGCTTCCTCTTTGTGAGACTGAACTAGAAGGTTTGTCATTTGCATTTGGCCTATCGTTCTTAGTAATGACATGCAAGTTGGAATTTAAACTAATATAACTCAATTTAGCATAAGTCTGACCATATCCATGATCACCCTCTTGATTTGATTAATCTTTCTGGGGCCTATCTACGACTTAGGGGAGGCATATTCCTTTCACTTAGGACCACAAAGAATACAGCAAGATATTGCCGAATATTGAATGGCTAAGGTGCTTTCTGTGCTTTAGGAGATGCTTAATAATCAAATTAAGCAATGAGTAAGAGCGACTTTCAAATGGGCCCTCCTAATCTCGGACAGATTTGGGAAAGAGAACGTGCAAATCTGTTTAGTCTTAGCTAATGGGGTCATTAGCAGTGTGGCGTGGTCTCTTTGGCATAAGAAATGTTATTACGAGATTCTTTTACAAGTGTGTGGCACCCAACATAATATGCATATGCCTAATTCACTTTTGGTTTATTGATTAAAGGCCATTTATTACTATACTTCTCCAAGACTTCGAAAAAGTTTGTACTTCAATTAAATTCTTCTCAAATTCCTCAAAACCGTGACCAAATCAATAAAAGAACTCCCAAGAATCCAACTACACGAGGATACTGAACTAAGCTATTTCAAAAGCCTCTATTTGACTAAGTGTAACTTCTTACATCACAAGCAATACTCATCTTAATTGGTCAATCCACTCTTCCACGAATCAAATTTAGTAGGATCAAACACCACTAGTTAATATCAGATTACTGTGACCCCTCTTGCCTCTCAAATTGGCACATTCCTAGACCTCGATCAATTGCTCCGGCAGGCTAACCAAAAGGAGAGTGACAGAGTTGAAAGAGCTCCTTTTGTTGTCTCACAAATTGCTAGACATTGATGTCAAAGCATATTCATTCAGTAAAAGCATATACGACCCGATAAAAATGTTCACCAGTCAAAGTTGGAACTTTTTTTTGGCGTGCCAAGGCAAGTTTGCTTCTTTAGGGAGACAGATTGTGACATTAGAGATGTCTAATGAGAAGAAATTCTAGCTCCTCATGATGGGTTCATCACTTTCCTTACTAGGACATTATTATTGTGATTTTGGATTCCTCTCCCTATGTCATACTTTGATATGAGTGAACTTGCCAGTTATCGTTGATAGGATGTTAAGAGCACTCGTCAAGCATGTTTAATAAAAAAGGGAAATATATCATTTTTTTTATAATTTTCATTACCCATAATATGATAATGCTACTTATGCAGCTCTACTACTATTTCAAGAGTACTCGTTAATAAAATATTTTTTTGGCAATGCTATTTATGCCAAATGTATTTGAACACTTTTGTGTGAAAAAGTATGTGTTAGACAACAGACTTATTGTGGTCATAAATCGTTAAATGTGGAGCCGACACATGATTGTGCACATGCATTTACATATATTCATGATATTTGTACATCTTTCTCATTTGAAAGTCTCGATCGAAATGGCTTACATGTGCACATTCTATCAGGATCCTGTATGTTCTATTAATCACTCGGCATGTATCGAATCGGAAGATTAGCACATTGGTGAGCATTAGCTCAAGCACTCGAAGTGCTCCGGCCACCCATTTATTGGGAAAAAGAAAATATTTTCAATATTCTGTATTTGAATCTGATTTTGCCATTTTTAATCTTTCTTAAATCTTATTGATATTAATGGCTTGGGGATCACATAGGGTTCTCTGACTGGCCGCTGGCGCGCCACTCGAACATTGGAGCTTGCCTCCAATTCCATCTGTACATGTCGACACTTCTCCTTTTTCAAATGTTTCTCCCGTAAACATATGCCTTAAATCTAGGTTAAGAGCTATTTATTATAAGAGAAAAAAATTATAAAAAAATGGGATTGTTATAGTTAATGGCGGTCCACTGTTATTAATATCTGTTTAGGAAGAATTAATGTTGTCAATGGTGGGAAATTAGGCAGTGGGTTGCACAAGACCCAGTTGGAGTTTGAGTCCAAACAAAAAGAGATGGGTCGAAATAACTGGACACAGCTATACACACATTATTTCGCAATGAGATGTTGCCCACCAAGAATGGAAACAGTTCGCGTCATGGAATTGCACCATACAACATGACCCACCTTGCGCATGCTAAAGTGACCCACTGACTCATATAATTGTCAAACACCCATTAAAACAAAAACAAAAACAAAAAAAAAAGAGATTATTTACTGTGTCATGGATAAGCTACGCGATCTTATCTATCAATTAGCATTTTTTGGACAATCGAATTAATACCAAATTCAAAAGGAGATAACCTGATTGGTTTCGGTTATGCAGCCTTAACGTGCCGCATCATATAGTTTCCACATTATGAACTTTTGTCGGACCCATTTTGCTTGAAGACCGACGGTTGAAACATTCGCGGAATTGACATGCTCGGTTCCTTGAAGATTCTACTTTACCCACTTCAAATGATTTATTTTCCTCATTTGGTCCTACGCTTGAGCTTATGATTGCTCGTTCAACGAGCCCAAGTGTATTTTCTGTTCATAAACCATCACATGTTTTTAGGGTTTAGAATTTAGAGTTTAGGGTTTAAGGTAAATGCGTAGATAAATGATACCTTTTTGTAAAGAGTTAAAAAGAGGTCATTTTGGTTTTGGTATTAGGAAATACAAGGGGGAAAAGACACTAATTAAACTGCTCATTAATTTCTTGGCAGAAAAGAAATAACCCCTCTACCAAATGTTAGTAATTTCTTAAACACATTCATACATATAATGATGGTTAAGGTTGTCACTAATTAGAAAACAATGGAAAATGGACCTTCGATGTTGATAAGTTGAGTTAGTAATTATGTGATTTTTTTTTTGGTGTGAATGTAAGTATTATAAACCAGATGAAGTATAGCAGCTTAGGGGCATCCCCCAGCAATACAAAAAGTGCTAATAATTCAAAAAGATGGAGGTAGGAAGTCTCCATATAGTAGCTAATACAACATTTATCTGGGAAGGTCTAATTTTTTGATAGAGCGAAGCTCTACCTTTGACATTTTTACGAACCTTAGCCAAAAGAATATGAAAGATGTATATTGTGAAATGAACGAGTTCAATCTATCTCAATAACATCCTAACTCTTATTACAATTAGACTATGTATTATAGTATAAATATTTCGATGTATCCCATTTCAAACGGACCTTCTTCTTCTTCTTCTTTTAAAATAACGAAGTTCTTAGTTCATACCTTATAATAATGCTTTAGGACGACGGGGGAAGGATTGACACTGAGACTCAAAAGGATCAATAATTTCTTGAAGAAAATGTCGGGCAAAAAAAAACATGTTTAGAAAAAGTGGGTATCAATGGATAGCCACGAGGATTACACCAGTAAAGTCATGTACAAGTGATAGCACTGCTTTTATCTTTCATTCAATTTCTACGAGAGTGAAAAAATCACACGAAACAAGATTGCGGAATCTTGTTATCGTGCTCATACTGGTAACTACTAGAAATTGTTGAAACACTTGAAGAAGATGAGAAAGTTTCAAGCTCAATCTCAGTATTGACATTAGCAACCAACGT